CTAAAATTACTTTTATTGTCAATATTTCCTTCGCTTAATTTAATCACACACAAAGCGTGCTGGGAACTACAAATCCCCTAATGAGGTAGTTGGACCAACACAATTACTTAAATTTGTCCCAACACAAGATGCTTAAGTTAACCTAATGGTTTACAAATTTAAGTAAACTGAACATAAAAACTACAAAACTGGCCAAAGAAATTACAAGAATCGTGTTGTTTCAGCTCATTTTAAACAGGTCATATTTTGAGTGTACACACTAAACAAAACTATTCTCATGCTGTTGTTTTTGAGTGAATGTGTTACAAAAGTCTACAAGTTATGGTCACTAGGTCTTGCTCATTGACACTTAACTACGTAACATGATGAGATATGGATGTGTTAATGATGAATGTAAACAATTTCCTGCTGAATCAATTCTAACAGTTCTAAAATTTATCTAAAAAAAAGAGTTAGTTCACCCAAAACTGAATGTTCTGAATTCTGTTGTTAGAATTTTACTCACCCTTATGTCATTTCAGTGCCCTGAGAAAACACAAATGTAAATATTTTAGATAAAATTTAAGAGCTCCCTCATCCTCCATAGACAGCAACGGTGCCAGAAACATTGTGAAAACATTCCATGTGACATCAATAGTTCAACTGTAATCAAGTTCCAAGAACACTTATCCACCATAAGACTGTAAAAACGGAATGTCTTCTCTCCTGCGTCAGGTCATCAGGGTGCAAGTTTACTATGGTAAATTCGGCGTATTGTCATTAGAGTCTGCAGTGCAACACACAACATGTCTTATTGGCCAAAAAAAAAATCACACCCTGATCTGATATGGAAGACATTTGCGAACAAAGTTGGTTTTAGTTTTACAGCTTTCCTGGAGCTTCATATGATTAATGTTGAACCACTTAAGTCACATGGAATGTTTTGACAATGTGTTTGGTTCTTTTTCTTGACTTCAAATGTGTCTGGACCAGTTCTGTCTATGGAGGTTCAAAAAGCTCTTGGATTTCATCTCAAATTTCTTAATTTGTGTTCTGAAAATGGTCTCGACATGAGGGTAATTATTAATAAAATGTTCAATTATGGCTGAACTAATCCTTTAATGCACTGATTCAGGAAAAAGCAAAACCACCATTTGGCACTTTGATTTAGAATCGGATCACTTATTATTTTAATTGTGTTAATTTCACTTAATTTTGAAAAGAAGAGCTTGACCATGATACTCAATCCTGATCATGATTCCTTACATCTGTGAGCACAAGAATATTTTTTTTTAATTTCCCTTTTTTGTGATATCAGTATGTCTCTGTGTTGTCTAGGTGTGTCGGCAGTCACGTCTCTCCTCTCTCTTTCCTGGGTTCTGGCCTCATACCACAAGCTTCTGCGTGATTCCCGCGATGACCAAAAGAGCATGAGCTACCGGGGAGCACTGGTGCATCTCCTGTGGCGATTCTTCACCATTTCCTCTAGGGCGCTCTCTTTCGCCCTCTTTGCCTCGGTTTTCCACCTCTACTTTGGCATTTTTGTGGTGCTGCACTGGTGTGCCATGGCCTTCTGGGTAATCCACGGAGGCACCGACTTCTGTATGTCCAAGTGGGAAGAGGTGCTATTCAACATGGTGGTCGGCGTTGTCTACGTCTTCTGCTGGTTTAACGTCAAGGAGGGAAGGACCCGATACCGCATGGTGTTTTATTACTCGCTGGTGCTGGTGGAAAACACCATCCTTACCGCTCTCTGGTATGCCTACAGAGACCCAGTCTCTACGGACTCTTACGCCGCATCTGCCCTGTGTGGCGTCTTCCTGTGCTTTGCTTCCGGAGTGGCTTGCATGGTTCTTTACTATGGGGTCCTGCATCCTATGGGGCCCCGGCTGAGGGTGCTGGCCAGTTCCTGCTGTGCCGAGCTCCTTTGGGGCCTCCCTTTACCACCCGAGGCTGAGCCCATGGCACCCACTCCAGGGCCCCGAGGCTCCCAAGCGACCCCGACCAGGGGCATGGCTTCAGGGGATTACAGTGAACCAGAAGAAGCCGCCACAGACACTTGCCTGCCAGTGTTTCAGGTGAGATCAACTGAGCCCACCGATGCGTCGGGACGGCCCATTCCTCCAAAAGGGCCCCTAATCAAGATTGATATGCCCAGGAAACGCTACCCAGCTTGGGATGCTCACTTTGTGGACCGCCGTTTGCGGCGGACCATAAATATCCTCCAGTTCATCAGCCCCAACGCAGTGGGCATCAGGTACAGGGATGGACCCCTCCTCTACGAGCTGCTCCAGTACGAGTCCTCCCTATAAAAACGTGCAATGATGCCGCTTTTCTCTACTCTCTCGACCCTCTCTAGTTCTCTGGTTCCTTTGGTGCTTTTTTCTTCAGAGTTTTTATTATTTAGTTGTACTCTCAAGCTAAAAGAGTGCATCTAAGGTCTAAACAGAGAATATTCAACATATATTTTGACTAACACAGTGTAGAGTTAAGGAACAAAATGTCCAAAATACAACATTCCCTAGTTTGGGTTACTCTGGTGTGAATGTTCGACTAATACTGTATGTATGTTTGATGGTGTTTGTGTTCCTGTCACCTCTGAGATGTGCATGATGGGAATGATGGAGGAACGTAGTCTCTGGCATCCTCATTCTGATTTTGCTTTTACCATTTTGTGCCTATGTTTTTGTTTTTTCCTAAACAGTTGTACCGACAGCTGATCTTAGATGATGGTAAGAAAAGTCAACATTAGCTTAGACTCTAAAAAGCACATTTGATTGTCAGATGAAGCACACAAAACACCATTCCTGTTCTCCAGTGATTATGGGGGAAGAGGCTTTAAATTGTTGTCAAATTGCTTTTAAACAGAACAGCAACTTTTTGTGTAAAATTCAGTGATGTCATGTAAAAATTGGTGTCAAATTTGGGTGTTGGCCTACCACGTAACACTGCCACTGCTACTGTAATCATGAAGGGCCTTAATATTTATCTCAACATGTATTTTCCTACTGAAACTCACTAGTGATGTAAAATCGATCATTTCTTTTGCATATGGCCCACTATTATAAATGAATAAATGGTGCATAATTTCATATTGTTTAGGGTAGGAAAGATTTTATTTAAAGTTATTAATAACTTTATTCAGCAAGGGTGCATTAACTTAATCAAATTTCAAAATATTTCTGTTTCAATTTTCTATTCATCAGAAAATCCTGAAAAAAAGTGTCAAAGCCTCCACCAAATATTAAACATGACAGCTGTTTTCAATATTTATAAGATTTATTTCTTGGTCACAAAATCAGCATATTTGTATGATTTCTGAAGGATCACGTGACACTGAAGACTGAAATAATAATGCTGAAAAAGCAGCATTGAACTCAAACCAGGGACCTTCTGGCTGTGAGGCAAACGTGCTAACCACTGAACGACTGTGCTGCCCAGAATCAAATACATTACCCTATATTAAAATATAAAAATGTTATTTTAAATCTTAATATCATTTCATATGTTTCATAAAATAAATCAGGCTTGGTCAGCATAAGACAATCTTACCAACTCCAAACTTAAATGATTTCTTTAAACACGTTATTTGCTTTAACCAATATCTAGTGTACACCGATGAAAGCTAGAAGGAATTAGAGGTACATATTTTATTATATAAGTCATTACATACATATAAAACACAATGATAAAGTTTTAATACTTGGCTAATGTTTTGTCACATAACCCTGAAAAAAGTGCTTTGTATGAGTTAACCAGCCTGATCTCACGAGAAAACGTAAGTATTTTACGTTTTGCCAGTTTAGTGGCTAATTCGTACAAATTCGTACGATTTCAGTCGTACGAACTGATACGATTTTAAAAAGGAGGCGTGGCACCTAACCCCACACCTAACCCCAACCGTCATTGGGGGATAAGCAAATTGTACTAAATTGTACGAATTAGATCTTACGAATTCATACGAATTAGCCATAAAATGAAAAAGTTACGAATTGCCGTGAGATTGTGTTTTAGTTAGCATGTACAGTAAAAACAAAAAGAAAAACATTAAAAATGACTCAACTAACATCAGCCAAGTTATTTTAATGAGTTAGCTCATGTTAAAATTAATATTTAGGGTAACAATTGCACATTAGCATCATTACAGTGTAATAACGAAAAGAAATGTGTGGTGCTTAACTGTAACCTTTAGTACTCCTCCATCATTCCCTGTATAAAACAGCATTGTTCTGTCCACTTAAACCTTTTCTTTAACAAAAGGCTTATGGATTCTTGAGAAATAATGTGTAAATGGTATACCATTCACATTCAATATGTACAATATTCATTTTTATAAAAGGAAAAAGTTATTTTATTTGAAGTGTGCAATATTTTGGGGAGTTGTGCTTGGAGAAAAAGGTCACTTTTGCTTGACGTTTATACACCACCACAGAATGCATGCCATTAAATTGAGGATTGACTGGGTTGCCAGGTGCCAACCAATGAATGAGGGCTTCTAATGAACTAGATAATTGAATTAACCATCCCACTATATACTTTGTTATTTCAGTATCTATACACGGTGCACTTAATAAACTTGAGGGTTAGATTCAAAAAAGCCACTTGTTTACCTCCAGTGAGGTACTCCCCCCGCTCCAGATTTCATCAAATCAGTTTAAAAGAATGAATGAATGTGAGGGCTGTCATTTCTGTTATTCACCCTGACATTTTGTTTAGAGTCCAGGCAAGATACGACAGACATTAACACGGGATGCCAAGATTCACTACATGGGCTGCTGCATTTGCGTCTGCTCAGATTTCCCTAGCAGAATTCAGAATGGTTGTAGTAGATGAGGTGGAAGAGTTTATTTTTATTTTTTGCCAGGGATGGATAAGAACAAGAGGATAGACTGCGAGTGTGTGAATTTATGTGTGTGTATTTCCGTGGGTCTTACCTCTTCAGCTCCATCCTGGGTTGCTGCTCAGACTCGTCCACCCTCTCATGCAAGTGTTATCTGGGATATTCAAATGCAAAGACTACGTTTCAAGATAACAACTCAGATTTATAACCTGGCCAAAGGGAATCAGGGACGGGTAGTCGGATTTCATGCAAGGAATTCTAATTCTGAAACATTCAAATTCTGTAATGCTCGCAATATCAGGTTTCAAATCCTGTTCCCGGTTCCCTTCTAGTGCCTGGAAGAGTCACTGGTATTCCGCTCCTGTAGGTGCTTGGCACATTAATGCACTGTTGTTTGCTGGGAAATCACCAACCCTTTTACGTTATTTACTCCTTTTTATGGTTGCGTGAATTGGCTGCCTGGCCTCCTGTGAAATTACAGCATTGAGGTAAGACAGACCGGGTGAAATATTCCAAATACACTGTGATATTTTCTTCTATTGTTCCACTTTAGCATGATGTGTCGATGCCAACATTGCCATATTCGAGCAGGCATGGGGAATGATTCCACCTAAATCAGAATTGGCTCATTTCAGATTACTGCCTTACTAGTCAAAGTTACACATCAGATTAGTGGATATTAAAGTCACATCGCCATTTGTACACGTCAAGGGTGGGATGGGTGAGTGGGACCAGTCTCTAATAACCAATTCTTTGTGGTGCCTTGTCTTTTTGGGTGCTTCTGTGCAGCCATGGCAGCCCATGCAGCAAACAACAACGGCAGTGTCTCTATCTCAGTTCATGTTTCACTCAGTACTGTAACAAGCCAGTCAATTTTGCCCCGTACCCATGCAGGACATGCCAAACGAAATCGAAAGTACTGAAAGGCAATACTTGAATGTTGGGTTAGACACTTTTCCTGGTTCCATTTGACCATTCGCAAGGGTTTCGTTAACGATCAAACCTGAAAAAAAGAAACGAGATTGGTTTGTTTGGGTACTAAATGACAGTTCCGATGAAGTTAGCAATTTATTTAATGATTGTTAATGTACTTCTGTCTATGCCTTCCTCTGTCTTGCAAAACGAATGAGCTGTAGTGCCAACAAGTTAATCTTTTCTCTCTGTCGTTTGTCTTGTGAACACAAATGTCTAGCCAAATGGATTTATGCCTGCAAAAAAGACAAAAAATTAAGAAAAAAATGTGTGTAGACCAATAAGAATAATCCAACTTGGGTACGTAAATATGGTGCTCACTTGGTTGAAAATTGGAACGTAAATCTGAGATGGCATTGGACACATTCTTGAAGGCCTCCAGTGCTGAACCATCTTCAGACTGCTTTAACATCCTTTGGATTCTTAGCATGCTCACAAAAAAATGCATCCTATATGGTGAACCCCTCAAACACACTTGCATGTTTATTTCAACGCAACGTCCCACCCATCGCTCCAGAGCATCCACAAGCTCATCCGATCCAGTGGTTCTGCAACAATCAGTATTACTATAGAGCCAAATGTTGACCACAAAACGGTGCATTTTTGTTTCTTGACCTGGTGCTTATCAACATATTCTTAAGGTGCTACCACAGATGTGGACTGCAGGACCCCCGTTGTGGCTCACTAAGCAAAGCCACCGTCCAATAGACCTGCCTCTTTGAGCTCTTACGGACACTTCTCTTCTCTGGAAGAACAAGCACCTCAACACGGTTTACAGACAAACATCTCTTTTTGAAATATGGTGCCATTTATTGCTTTTCACACTGCACAAAGAAGCATTGGTGCAGCGAATATGTTCATTTTTTTACTTCTTCCCCAAATTTCTGTTCAAGTTTATGTATATTTGTTTGATAAAAATGTTTAGATGTTTAAAATCTGCACTAGGATTTCTCGTAAAAGATGAAAATGCATCATTTTGACATCCATCCACAGGCCTAAAAGTACTTCTGATAAAAAAGGGATCGCTAAACATGTAGAAGGTGATTGCCGTGTTGTATATTCCTGTCATCTCTATGTCCTAAGCCTATGTGTATTTCTTCCGTTATTGTAGAACTGGCTTTATATTTTGTTGGAAAATGATCTTATTAATAATGATTATGGTTGTAGGATGAGTTGCTGCTGATTTTAGAGTTGTTATCCATGCTGTTGGAGACAGGTAAATTACCTGTGGAAACAGATTGTGTTAGATTGTCACTGTATTTCAGATATGGGGTATGACGAATGAAGGCACAAAGTTATTATTAAGTAATTGAGTTTCTACTAACTGTAACATTTCTTTTTTCCTTAACTGACTGTACACATTAATTATGTTGAGAAAATAAGATTTATTTGATGTTGTCAAATACAAATGGAAGTAAATTGTTTTGTTTGATTGCCATTATTTGAGAAAAAAAACTGATGTCTAGTAATAGACCTTATTTTTTTGAAAAAGAAAACAAAAAACATTATTAATACTGACAACATATGGTGCTATGGTTGTTTTTGTAAACTTTGGTTTTTAGGTCAAAAAGGGAAAATCAAAAGAATATGTTGAGCCTTACTGTACATCTATATATGAGACTGTTCCTCTCTGAAGACTGGAAAAATAAGTATAGTATTTGAAAAAAAAAAAAAAAAACGAGTACAAACATATATATATATATAAACTGTATGCTTTACGTTTATGCACAATTTGCCCAATGACAGATCAAAGTGGTTATATACTGATGTATATGTTCAGATGTGTATGTGAATGTTTACTGATATGATAGAGATAGATTTCCCAGAGTAACAAATTGTTGTTTAATAAAGATATTACATTATTACATTTTTATCATCAGATTGCTTCAATCGAATTACGATGAAAAATACATTCATAAGGATTATAAAGCCCTACAATATATTCAGAAACCTTTTATAAATGTTATTATTATTATTATTATTAATAAGTATTATTAAATTCTTATTAATTAAAATTAACTGTTCCTAGAGTATACAGAGTTTGGTAAAACAGCATTTTACTATTCAGCGTTTTCCTTGGGCCTTACATTATGGAATGAAATGCAAAGTGTTATCATGTTAGAAACAAATCCATCTCTAAATATTTTTTTTTAATCTTTTGAAGTCTTACCTGGAAGAATCATGTGAATGACTTGTGTAAATTTCAATTCGTGATATTTTGTGTGTGTGTAATTTTGTATCTGAAACTTTTTGTGCTGCCATTTTGGCCAGGACCCCCGGTAGAAGAGATGCATATCTTAATGGGAAATTCCTGGTAAAATAATGGACAAATGAAATGAAATTAAGCATAAGCTTGCAGTAACTTGGGACTGGGGGTATGATTTTAAATATTATATAATTTTGGAGGTGGTTAACCATCATATGGTAAATATGCAAAATACATTTGCTATAGGGGAATTACCAACCTACGTCACACATGACGTCACACGGGTTCAACTGCGCATACCGGTTGCAAAAAAATACCGGTTGCAAGCATGTCCTGTTGTGCTGTAGGATGCCAAAATCGAAAGTCCAAAATTAGAAAACTTAAATTTTACCGTTCACCACACTGCTTTTAATGCCAACCGCAGACGTCTTTGGCTAACAGCTATCAGAAGAGCTGAATGGAGTGAGGACCTAATCAAATCTGCTCGACTCTGCAGTCATCAAATTATACCAGGTAAGTTTACGCTATCCTGATTCATACACATTACTCGTTTTTGATTGCGGCAATGATTTCAGCGAAAACAGTTAAATTTGTTTATTAAACTGCGGACACTGAATGCTTGGAATGAAATGTAAAAAGTTCACATACCCTGCCATACAGGTGCAGATTCGCTGTCAGAATGCAGGTGTTTCGCTTGTTGATGATTACCCAGGCCTTGTACAGTTCCGTCTTCTTTTGTTGTCTTTGGCCAGGCAGAACCTCGGTTTCTAGCACTACAAAGTTTTTAATCTGGTAATCATGGAACATTATTTCTTGCACATGACCATGACGTTAATTTTGCCGAATGACTGTGCTAATCACTAGGTGACAAGCTGTTGCAGTACGCTAAAAGCATTATGTAAATAATATATATATTTATATCAATATAACTAATCTCTAATACAACAACAAACTCTGTCCCGCACCGCATGTCATTCCCTCGCTGTAAATGCTAGCCCTCCTGTTTTTTTCTGCAACCTTGATGCGTGCGCATCCTGAATGTTTACAAACCAGTAATTCACCAATATTGATAATAACAACAGCATAATAATTGTTTTTTAAGAAAATACATGACCATGTAACATAGACATGATAACAATTACAAAACATATTTGCCATATAACGTTACCTTTTCTGAGTTATGTTATACACTATAAATTATAAACATTTTTATTTTTTTAATTTAAAAACCATTTTGCTAAAAGATTAAAACTAGAATGGTCACTTTACTTGTTACAAACATAAAACTTAAGTTGATTTTGGCATTTTAAATAGCTTATAGGCTATATTTTCTTGTTAGTCATATTGTGGACAATTTAGAAGTTTGCTCCATTTTTAAAGGTAACCCTTTAAAAAGTTGCTTTTAAATCATAGTGAAAAGACAATGCAAAGCCCAAAGCTACAACGAGTAATATAAACTTCCCATCTTCTGTGTTTATTAATAATAACTTACCGTAAGTATTTATAGTATGTGCTGATGAGGTTTTCTGTTTGTCTCGCAAAGCACTATGGGTAGACGTCCTACGCCCAAAATGGCGGCAGGATTGAAAAGTTTGTTGCTGTTTTTGTTTTATTTTATTATATCTGTTCGGTCTCTGTCCTTTTTTTCATAAACTCCAAGTTTTACCTCGACAAATAAGGTCGCTCGTTTCTTGACGGTCCATTAGCACGTGATTCTGAATCGTCGGTTTGTTTTGTTAGATCGCCGAAGCGCCGCCGTTGACGTGTAGGAGGCAGATGGCAGTGAATTCGTGGACATCAGCACATCTAATACAGCGAAAATGAAGAGCATTTGTACGTAGAGATGGAGGAGGATGTAAAGAAAGTCAAAAAGGTTAGTTAACGCTGTAATGTGACCAGAGTTTACTCGTGTACGACACAACAACTGCTTAGTAGCTTAAACGTGTTGGCCTAACTTAACCACGAATTAACACAATGTTAACTCTCTTTTAAAACATCCGTGTGTGTATTCATACCTTAAGTTATGTTTAGAATAATTTCCACTCGTTATCCTGTGACTAAACTGGATTATTAAGGAAATAAGTGGTGCCGCTCTTTAGTCATGAATACAAGTTACTTACGCTGGCCAAAGATAAACACTGAGATTCTCAGCATGTGACTTTACCGTGATTGTAAAAGATCTGGCGGTTGACATTTCCTTCTGATTCTTGGTGGCTTTTGGTAAAGTATTCATATTCAGTCAGAGATGTACAGAGCCCCCGTATGGCCACGTAGAAAAATCTACACTGGTCTCTGGAGGTTGATTTCGTGGTTTGCTATGTAACGTTAACGTTAAATACTAAAAGCCTCAAAACAGTCCGTTTAGCATTGAGGGAAAGTTGTTTTTTATTTACACATTTGCTCAGTGACAACTTGTGCCACCGTTCCTATATTGTTTACCATGCTACTTTGAATATTCTGGCAGAAATAGCATACTAGGATGACTTCAAAACCGCATTAGCACTGTTTAATTGACTGTGAACAATTCTGTAACGTTACTTTGATAGTATTTGGCTGCTAACATGATGTAATTATCTAGAGTTGGCAAAAAAAAATACTTTTCTGAAAATATAATGTTAAGTAAAAAGTCAGAATAAAAAAACACTTAACCTCAATCTGTTCAGAAATGGAACTAACCAAAAACTGCTTACAAAACACTTTAGTTTTTTCAACTCTGTCTTTTAGTTCTTAATGATAAAAATGTCTAGGTCCTAATATATTTTCAGCTCAGGATTGTGAACCTAGAATTCAAAGACTTTCTAGTGTTTCATTTAAATTATTCAGGCATGGTTATTTCTAAAGTAATATTAAATAACCTAAATAATAATGAGGTAAAGTTGGTTTTATATTCGCATGTATGTTCAGTGACAACTTGAGACATGCTCCCTATATTGTTTATCATGCTACTTTGAATATTCATTCTGAAATCGCATGCAAGTGACTACAAAACAGCGTTAGCACTGTTAAATTGATTGTTAACAATGTTGTTCTTTGATAGTCTTTGGCTGCTAATATGATTTCCCTATTTATAATTGGCAAATAATACTTTTCTGTTAAAGTGTAATATTAAGTAGAAAGTCAGAATATGAAAACAACTTTACCTCAATCCGTTCAGAAATAACTAGCCAAAAACTGCTAACAAAGCTATTTTTTTCACACTCTTTGTCTTTTATCTCTTTATCATAAACAATGTATAGATCAAAATTTGTTTTCAGCTCAGGATTGGGAATTTAGAATTAAAAGACATTCTGGTTTTCAAGTAAAATTATCCAGGCATGCATTTAGCCTCCTTACATTTAAAAATAATATTGAGGTAAACATGTTTTATGTTCACACATTTGTTCAGTTAAAACTTGTGACATACTCCTTATATTGTTTACCACGTTACTTTTAAATTCGTTCTAAAAATCGCATGTAATTATGACTTCAAAACAACATTAGTTTAATTGACTGAACAATGTACTTTGATAGTCATTGGCTGCTAATATGATTTCCCTTAGAATTGGCCAAGAACACTTTTCTGAAAATATAATTAAGAAAGTCAGAATATAAGAACAACTTTCCCACAGTCTATTCAGAAATGATAACTGACCAAAAACTGCTATCAAAACCATTTTTAGTTTTTTTTACACTCTTTGTCTTTTATCTCTTTACGATAAAAGGTCTTCATATATTTTCAGCTCAGGATTGTGAACCTAGAATTAAAAGACTTTCTAGTGTTTCATTTAAATTATTCAGGCATGCTTATATTTCTAAAATAATATTTTATAATAATGAGGTAAAGTTAGTTGTGTGTTTGCATGTATGTTCAGTAACAACTTGAGACATGCTCCCTATATTGTTTATCATGCTACTTTGAATATTCGTTCTGAAATTGCATGCAAGTATAACTACAAAACAACATTAGCACTGTTTAATTGACTGAACAATGTACTTTGATAGTCATTGACTGCTAATAGGATTCCCTTATTTAGTATTTGCAAAGAATACTTTTCTGAACTTATTTTATTAAGGAGAAAGTCAGAATGTGTGAACCAACTTTACCTCAATTTTTTTAAATATGTATATGATGTATATAAACTGGTATTACACAGTTAATATAATAACTGTAAGTATTTCTTCCTAATAAAATAAATATAAGCATCACATTGTAATGTTCAAAAGAAAAAAATTCAAGCTGGTAAACTATAAATGTGAACCTATTTTTCTATATATATAAACACTTACTTATATATCCCATTATAATCATTAGTTCTACTCAGAGAGCAGACATTTCTGATTTAAGTGAATCTCCAAGTCTGTGCTTGTGAGAGACTTTAAAAATTTCTTGGAGTACATGACAAACTGGTGGAATGTTTTATAAACTAAAAGTACTAATAAATCACCTATCTGGCCCTATAGGTGGTCTGCGCAGAATAACTTTTCTTTCAGATGACAATTACAGCTGATTTAAGGAAAGGCAGGATCACAGACAGGACTGTGACCTTTCCAATCAGTCCGGTGTTGTGTGCCTGCTGAGCTCAGTCTTTCCTCCTCATGCACTGGGGAGAATGGAGGGCTGGGCTCTCCAAAGACTCGGACAGGATGTGACGGCCCTGTGTCTGCCTCTTAATCACTACTGCGAACCGATAGTTTCTTTCCCTTTGCCACAGGACGCATGACATCCAAATTAAGCAGATCTTTTACATGTACTGTAGTTACAGTTAATTTGGTTGGATGTTACACGTTCGTTTGGTCAGTTATCTTATCAGCTACTGTATAATGTATGTTTTTGGTTGTCTGATTTACCAAAAAGGGAAAGTTTCCTCAAGTGGCCACAGGCTGGAGCTGTTGAGTCGTTTACTGTCAAAAAAACTGAGGAAGAGTTTGTCTGGTCAGTTTGTTTTATTGAAAGAAACCAACTGGAAATCCACAGTCATGGTATTGAATTATCGAACAAAGATTTGTAAAACACACAGCTTTCTTACAGTACAGCTGTAATCTATAATAAAAGTCATCTATGTTACATTCAAAAATAAAAAAGAACACATAATAAAAGTAGGCTACATGTGGTACAGATATATTTGCAAGTATTTCTTTAAACTCCAGCAAGACTTCTGATACATGCTTTTAGTAAAGCCTGAAAAAGACTAAGATAACTAAAATGATAGCACCAAAAATCATTCAAACATTTGGAACTGGTAAGTTCATCTATTAATTTTATTGTTTTATTTATTTGTAAGAAGGTTGCTATACTGGTCAAAGAATAAAAGGCGTTATTTTTAACAAATGACAAGCAGAACGGGATCAGTTCTCAGAAAATAAACTTTTTAAAAATACAACCTAAAATAAGAAGAAAATCCAACTATTTCCTTAGTCAAGACATGATATTGTTTACAGAAGATGTTGTATTAGACACACGAGACTCACACATGAACATTTTCTCAAAGCAGAAGAATCCCCAAAATGTCAATATTGCAACAGAAAGCTAGTATTCTTGTGGAATGCCCTATTTTTAATATTATCAGACAATGATTTTTTTTTTTATCTGGAGAGACTTTAAATGAAATATTTTTAAATGTGAGAGAATGTTTCTTCCATAATTGTAGAATTTTTATCAAAAGTAAACATTAAACTGATTTTGAATTTATATTATATTTTTTATTTTATTATTATTGTTATTATTGTTGTTTTTTTTATGCATTTTATCTTATATATTATTTATTGATGTTGATAATTTTTTTATCGTTCAAATATTTTATAGAAAAGTGATACTTAAACAATGTTATAAACTTTTTTTTCTTTTTCTTTTTTTTTGCCGTGACATAACCAGACAAGCTGGTATGGCAATAAACTTAAAACTGTCTACTGATCAAAGGGGTAATATCAATTATGTAGCCAGATTATTAGAATTAATTATTAATATCCTAAATTTAAAGTTATAACAATGTAAAATAAATAAATATATTTTGATTAATTTTTTTATGTAAAACCAAAGCTGAATTTCCTAAAGATTTTTATTTAATTATTTAACTTTTTTCAAATTTTCTTAAATATATATATAAGTCTTATTTCATGATCAAGAAACTTCTTATTTTCATTCAAATTGCTTAAGATATGTGTGGGAACATTTTGGGGATTGTTTTTTCATAAAAAAAACTGATTAGCATTTAATTTATTGTCTTTACAGTCACTTGAATTAATGGGTTCTTGCTGAATTTTTTTTTTTTTTTTTTTGTCTTACCAAATTCTTAGTGTGGGTTGTCTTTTTTTATTTTTTGTTCTGGTGAGGATCACTTGTGCGTCTTGTTTTCTGAAATTTCAGAAGGACACAAACTCATGAAATGTTGATGATGTTGTAGTGTCTCATTCCTTGGCTGCTCAATAATTAAGTGAGTTATAAGTTATAAATTAACATAAATATTCTAGACTGCCGTGGACATTTTTGAGCACAGTACTTTATAGCAGGGGTCCTCCAAACCCCAATGGGCCAAAAAACTCAAGCTGCATATTAAAAGTGAGCAAGGACTCCCTGATCTATAGTTAAATTTTTTTTTAAATTGCCTGGCCAATGTTAAAGTGCTTTTGTAGTACCATATTAAAACATTTGAAAGAATTCTGATAATGTTAGTTAATTCATTATAAAACATATAATTCCTACATTAACCCAATATGTTGCACCTAAATATACACCACAATAAACTGAAGTCCATCTTTCCACAAAACAATTAGTTGAGGATCTTCTCGTAGCAGTTTGACACACTTCTGAAAGATTGTTTGACTGTTTCATCACAGGAAATGGCGGTTTGTGTTCTTCCTTATTGCACGAACTATAGCTTAAAGCAGAATGTGTTTGTGTGGGGACGCGTGCGTATCGTGGGGTGTGGTTTCTCTTGCTGTTTTGAGGGAGTTGGCCTTGATCTCATTTGTCACAAGCCACATGCAACCTGTTTCGAGAGCAGCGCGCCTGTTGCTGAGGACAGCTGTCGTACGTTGACCATTTCCATTGTGTTGATACTGTAGAGGCCAGTCATGGAGACAGAGGTAGGGCTTATAGAAATCTTGTGTTTGTCCTGAAACATCTTTTTAAATACATATTCAGTTCTCCATTGCAGATCCGCAGACTTTGAAAAACAAAGTGGTTACTTAAAGATTTCTCTCCTCCTCCAGTTTTTAGCCTTAACTATTTCCAAGAGGCATTTTTGTTGAATAGCAAGTTGACATTAGTGGTTGGGTTTACCACAGAGTAAATAGCAGCCTTTTTCCACGAATGTCGATCTCATTATGCTTTTGCAAAGGTATATGGTTTCATAAAAGCCCTCAAGCAAATGTAGTGCTGCGGACATGTTGTTTTTAGCCAACAGTGCATTTAAAAAGGAAGGACCGCATGTTAGTGAGTGTGTTTTGTTGGTTTGTTCTTCATTTTTTATTGTAAAAATAAAAATCCTGTTGCTAAACATTTTCTGTGTCAGGATAACTGACACGTTCATAGAGGCTCAGCCTTGGGATTGTTGTAGTAACGGTTGCCGCATCAGTCCAGATCATATAATTCAAAGATGTCATCAGTGGAAATCCAGTATATCAGTGTGAAGTGTATACAACAAGACATCAGCAAGAATAGTTTTTGCACAACTAGCCACTAACCAAACTCCTAAATTTACGGTCACGCTGAAAAAAAAATCTCCTGCGTTTTTGACTTCCTAAAGTCGTGATGTGATTTCCTCTTTCTGTTTCTTTCTGCAGCCAGGTATCGTGTCTCCGTTCAAGCGGGTGTTTCTGAAAGGGGAGAAGGGTAGGGATAAGAAGGCTCTGGAGAAGTCCACTGAACGCAGGGCCCTCCACACCTTCTCTCTCTCTCTCCCAGACCACCGTATCGACCCAGATATTCTGCTCAATGACTACATCGAGAAGGAAGTTAAGGTATTACTCAGCTTCTGCTTTTGTATCGTGTGCTGATATTTTATTTTATTGCATTTATATTGCTTAAACTGCTTTGTTTGCCATTTTGACATTGGAGGAAAACATTTTTGTTTCTTTAGTTGCTAAAATCAAAGGTCATGTGTCCAATCCAACATGGTTATAAAGACTCAACCCTTGATTACCTCTAACATTGCATCTGCGTTTGGCAGCATCTACCACATTATAAATATTACCTGCTTTTCAGTAATTGACATTACAGGTTCTTACACAATAACATCTTGCAGCTTATTTCTGTTTTTTGTGTTTTAACATCTACCTACCAACATGTGGCATCCACCAGTGTTCGATTCTCAGTCCTTTTCTATTTCTAGTTTGTTTTTGTTTAAACAAATATTGAGGCACCAGGGATTCCACTAGTGCTTTAACAGATCACAAATCTCACAGTTCGGATCACACTACGGTTTTTCACGGGTTGGACCATTTTTTTGGATCATCAAAAAAAGGAAGGAGGCAAATTTCATTTGCTTTCCTTTTATACAAAAAAATTACTGCAAAAAACTTAGTTTTTTTTTTTTAACAAACATAACTTAGAACCTGTCATTTTGATAGAAATAAAAATCAAGAAAGAACCATCTGTAAAAAGTAAAATATTCAATATGAAAAATGATCTTTGCTACTGTTAATGCTAAATATTAAAATCTAACATCCTGTACAACATTTCATATTTATTTTCAATTTATGATTTAGCAATTCACACATAAAACTTCACGTTTCATTATAGGTGGATCATTTTTGAAAACATTTTCAGTGACATTATTTTGATGGTTGTTTGTCGCTACCCATTTGTTACACAATGTAATTACTACAACATTCATTCTCAAACATCAGTGTTTATATCAGAACTATAAACTGTTTTTCCAATACTTTTGTGTTATTTATTGTTTGTAACTAACTGAAAATGTAAAAACTGAATCTCTCGCTATCAAACACAGATTTGAATGCAGCACTTCAAAGTGTTAATAAACATATGCAAGTCATTAATCGTTTATCATTCATGTGCGGAATTGAATTGAGATCACAATCTATTTATGTTTAATTGTGCAGCTTTACACTAAATGCTTTAATGCAGGCTAAACAATCAGTCACAGAAAACATTTTTAATGAATAGCCTAAGAAAGCATTTAGGTAGGTCCCACCACAACTTTTTTTTTGTCATAATTGTATATTACAAAAAATCCAAAATGCCTTCATACACATGATTTGAATGACTTGGTATGTGATCTATTTGCAGTTGTTATAAATGTTGGATTACCCTACAAGTTCAAAAAAGTTATTAATCCGTGGGTCACATGCGTTTCGAAGTGTGGGTTGTGATCCTATGGATTATGGATCAACCGTGATCAGTTACATCCCTAAATTCCACTGTTATGCTGCCGATACCCAAATCTATATCCACTTCTGTGATCCCTCCCATAGCTAGTTATTCAGTACTTCTCCCCTGGATGTTGATGCAATCTTTTAATGTGCCCTGTATTTTTTTGTGATTATTTATAAATTAATATTTTGTTTTTAATATTATTTTCTTGTTAACTGTGCTCAATTGTATTCTAGGAAGGCTCTATAATTAATAACATTGTTATTATTGTTGTAGTATCTGGGACAGCTGACCTCAGTTCCTGGATACCTGAATCCCTCCAGCCGCACTGAAGTTCTGCAGCTCATTGACAATGCCAGGGTAAGCTCGATACTCATAAACTGTTTTATTTTGCAACATGAGGATATGTTTTCACATTGGTTCTCTTATATCTTGTGCAGAAGTCTCATCAGTTGGCTGGGCAGCTGACCTCAGAGCAGGATGCTGTTGTCAGTTTATCAGCGTACAATGTGAAGCTTGTGTGGCGTGATGGAGAGGACATCATTCTGCGCGTACCCATCCACGACATTGCAGCTGTGTCCTACATCAGAGACGACTCGCTTCATCTAGTGGTGCTAAAAACAGGTATACGGTAATGAGGTCAATTAATGAGCATTAAATTAAACACAGTGGGTTCAAGATTTAGAGTGAAATATGTGAAAAATATGTAAAGGTTTGTATAATTTGTGTTTGCAGCTCAGGAGCCCGGAGGTTCCCCATGTCATAGTACAGAGATGTCGAAATCTCCCACTCTGAGCTCTCTATCTGAGAGTGGGGCTGTGCTGGTGGAGGTCTGCTGTCTGCTTGTGCTGGCTGTTGACAACAAGGTTAGCTTTTGTCATTCTAAGGGTGCCTATTTTGGCCTTTTTAGATTTTTACACTTGTGTAAATCTGAAAAGCACCATACATGTTACAAATTTGCATAATTCACATCTTTTGAAATGTTTGGTCTGCCTCAAAGAACAGTAAGGGAAGTGATTTCATCATAAAAATGACATGGGCTTCCAAGTCCATAGTTACCACAGATACATTGCTGTTTATTGCTGCTCATAAAACAGAGGGAACTAAAACCGGATTATGATAAGGTTTGTTACATTTCATCGAGCAAGAGGGCAGAGGGGCAGTGGCCACTCGGGCCACGCCCCTGTGCACGACCCTGAGTCCAGCTTTGTTTAGGTGGGAGTGGCGAAAGGGGGGAGTATTTTCATAAAAAGGGGGCGTTGGAGCATACGCTAATTTTCACAGAGGCAAAACAACACACAGATGCAGGGGAGATAGACGATGACTACTTTTACATGGACATCAGTAGTCAAATTATTTGCAGTTCTACTGCAGTTTGGCACTTTCACCTTTTATTCAGTTTCATTTCGTGCATGCCCTCCATGACAAACGAGATATTGGATGCGAGGAACTGCTGTAAGAGTGTTGTTTTAATGGAATGTTTGATACCGCACGCATTATGGGAGGGAAAAAAAACCTCTGTGTTTCTCAGTAACTTAGATGCACTCGGTAGTTAGCGTCAGAAAGCTGTGTGTGTATAGACCATCCTGTCACAAAATGCGGCAAAAATCATACACAATGGTAATAGTTTGATTAAGGTCTTTACATTCCGCATTTACAGCAGATCTTTCAGTCCATAATATTGTAGTGATATTAACATAGTGTAAACTATGTAACTAAATCTAAAGTATGTCTTAAAAAAACGGAAAAAGTACTGCTGACGATACTAACTACCTTTGCCATCTGAATAAACATAAACAAAGCACATTGATCACACACTTACCAAATCTGTAGAGACAGGACAATCAACACCAACTGGAACTTTTTTGAAAGAAGACGAGCGGTAAATCCGGATTTCACCATTTTCAGATGCGAAAGCTCTTGGGTAAAAAAATGTTCCTTACAAACATATTTTTGTCACATGTTAGCAGACCACTGTGATCCACACTTGAGTCCAGCTCTCATAGAAGAAAATGAAACAAAACCTTCATTACAGCAAATTTATAAACACAACACTGACACGACCCATGTCTCCAAACAATTCTTCTTCTTCCACTCGTTTTAATTACAATTGTCTTCAAAGCTATATCATGCATATTAATGTAGTTGCGCCTCATTCACAATAGAGAGCGCTGATTGGTTCGAACCAAGTCTATCTCTTGAATTAATGACGAAAGCTCAAAGACGTCACGTTGTACCAGCCGATATAGACAGCCAGTCTCCACACTGGAATTTACACAATGGTTTCATGGCCGTGATGTAGCTTCTAAATTTCTTTTCAAACCAGAAGAGCTAATTTGCTTGAAATAACGCAAAAACAAACAATTTTTTAAACTTTTTTGTGAAATATGTGTTTTAGCTATGGGGGACATATATATGACTGTCAACATCTCAAAAAATGTCAATCAAAAAATAAAAAAAGTTAAAACTTTCAGTTTGAAACCTGTTTTAATGTCCCCAAGACAGTTGCTCATATGAATGGACAAAAAAATGCTACTGGTTTTAAGTTGAAAACGTCTTGTAAACGCCCCCTTAATGTCTGGGTAAACTAGAGGTTCTTAACATTAGCCCCTGAGGGACACTTTTCTGCAGAGCTTAATTTGAACTTTAACCAAACTCACCTGCATACACAACATTTTCAGCAACAAACAGGAATCCTGCTATGTTTTATTGCCTGTTCTTTTACACAACATCTGTGCTTTGGGTCCTGAAAAGGGGAATCTTTGTAAACATCCACATCATGTGTATGCATAGTACATCATATTTAGGTATGTGCAGTACTTGTTAAATTTAAAGGCAAGCATGATCAAACATACACAAAAATGTAGTACATGGTAGCGTTGGTGCTGGTCAAGAGTTTGCTAATGCTTTTTCAGCAAAATGTGGATTTACTTTATCAGTATTACATCAAATAGCAGAGAAGCATCATATACACACAACACATTCTAAATACACACCAGCACCAATGTACAGCTGACACGTTGTCACTTCCCTACATACTAACATTAACTAACAACGTGACAGTGCCAAATATGGGCCTGCCATGCATAATACAGCATTTTTGGCTTTTTTGCAGAAATGTGTTAACATAGATTTATTTAAAATCACTGTAATTTAGAAGTAAAACTTTAAAACACAAGGAGAAAACTAGTCTGTTAGTCTAATTAGGAGTAATAAGTAAAAACTCTGCTGGAAAATGGACATAACTAAAATATACAGAGAGATAGTAGTACCTTTAAGGCTATTTTCATTCAAGGTTATTTTCCATGTATTACCTCTGATTAGGCCTTATTGAGCCCAAAAAATTAAACCGACCCTACCTGAGCCCGTGCATCTTGCGGCTGAGCCCGACCCGGTCAGACATTATGTAATTTTGAGGCAGAGCCCGATTTAAATCTGACATTTTTTTTAGAACATGGGCTGTTATAACAGACATTCTCTACTACAATTTTGAGTTGTTTGAACTACAGAAATTTGTCTAGATTTATCTTACCTCCCTCTCAGGGGCATGCTTAAAGAAGTGACGAAAGAGGACATTGAAGGCGGACTATCATCCTTTCTGCATACCCATCAAACCTCTCGTTTTTGCTGAAATTCTCTGTTTTTTTGCTTTCCATACGCGCTGCACACAGGTGGCTGACGGAGGCACATTGTATAAAGACACTGTTTTCAGATCAGCTTCTGTACACGCAATTTTAATGCTTGTTTGTGCTTACACAAATGCTTGATCACTGCCTGGCCGAATATGGTAGCAGGAAATATCTGGGCTCGTGCTCAGGCAGAGAATCTAAACTCTACCTCTGATTATCGTGAGCTTTTCTTTCACAGGCTGCAGCAGAGGAGCTCTGTCTTCTACTCAGTCAAGTCTTCCAGATCGTCTATACCGAGTCCACCATCGACTTCCTAGACAGGGCCATCTTTGATGGAGCCACAACACCCACCAGGCATCTCTCAATCTATAGTGGTAAGTGAGCAGCAGTAGATTCATCATTTTGGGATTTCCTAGGAAATTTGCACTTGCCCAAAACCACAGACCACAGTCAGTTTCACATCATTATTTCTTCTGGGGTGGTTTATTGGAAACCGTATTTATGCTCCCTCAAGCTTAGTCTGTTAAATATTGCACTGACCTTGTAGAATAATGTCTCTAAATACTTTCCTATGTTTTTTTTTTCTCATTAAAGAAGACTCCTCAAGTAAAGTTGATGTCAAAGATGTGTTTGAGGCCGAGGCAAGCACATTGTGAGTATCACTTCAACTGTCCAGTAGTTTGGCACTTTATCTGTTGATTTAAGCAGTCATTGAGTCTTGTCCAATCGCAGCTCGTTCCAGAGTTCTCTAGAGGCGGGACATTCCTCTAGCCCCTCCCCCACCTCGGCCCCGGCCTCGCCACAAACCAAAACAGCCAGTGAGAGCGAACTGAGCACAACAGCTGCTGAACTGCTGCAAGACTACATGACCACAGTGAGTGTTCCTGTTCATGTGCTGTATAAAAATACATCTGCACGGCTGTTTCTTTTTATTCTGAGGTTACATTTACACTAGTGCCTTTTTGTTTTATGACAGCGTTACAAAATGGCAACAATCCTCATCTATACCGCCATTTCCTCTACATTTCAGAAAAGATCTCTGTCTAAACCCAGCCATAAAATTGTACAAAATGGTAACATCTTTACAATTATTATACACTCACTGGCCACTTTATTAGGTACACGTGTCTAACTGCTTGTTAATGCAAATTTCTAATCAGCCAATCATATGGCAGCAACTCAATGCATTTAAACCAAGTGTGCCGCAAGCCTGCGTTTCAGTGAAGGTCTCGGTCGTTAGATCGCCCCCTGGGGGCTGGCTGCAGTACAAGTCATAAAGCCCGCCTCCTCCGTGTTAATGAAGGAGACTTGAGCCCAAATAAAAAAAAATTATTACACTTGCAATAAAATATCCCGAAAGATGGTTCTGGTCGATTAAGGCACTCGTTATTGTGCTGAAATAGGTGCAGATCTTCATTTTTGTAAACAGTTTGTTTTTAGCAGTAATTTAATGCTGGGCGTGTCATCGTGATTGACAGCTGTGATTGACAGTTTCTCAAAGCAGCGCGTCTGAGCTTCGGCAGAAGATTGAAGTGTTATTATTCGATTTCTGTGTTGTTTTACCATGACAAAATGAGTTCAGCAGTAAACTATAGTTTCTGACATACATGATCTGGTGGAACACCGTTTATTCGCTAAGGTCAGGGCTTTTTTCGGGCTTTATTAGTTTGCTGATACACGCCTAGCCACCCAGATGGCAAAATACACTCGGGCCAGTTCCAGCTAGATTCTCGCCTGCCGGTGACTTACCCCTCAGAGCTCAGACTGACTACCTCTGCTGGACCTACTCCGGATGCCTGGATTAACTGCCCGATTCCAGCCTGAGTCAATCGAGCCAGATGCGGCGGCCGTGTGAGCCGGCGCTGCCGCATGCGAGCCGGATTCAGCCCGCGACGCCGCGAGTAGGTTATGCGCTGCGGTCCGGAGCTGGCGCGATTGAATATATAAAACCCTCATATTTGTTAACGTTATTACATCCATTTGTGTTGATATGAAAGCAAACGCATGCTGAGAAGTTCTGGGGGCGTGGTTGATTTTACATAAAGGGTTTGGTTGGAAGCTCGACTCTGCTCATTTTGGCGGCTCCTACTCTGGCTCCATCAGACAGTCCTTCTGCGCATGTCAAGGCTCCAATTTCAGCAGTCTTTTGCGACAGTTTGTGCCCGTCAAGCAGGCGTTTTGCCCTCAAGGCGTTCAATGGGAAAAGGGGCTGTCGCGTCGTCCATATTTTTTACAGTCATTTATTTAAACATGTAGATGGGCTACAGCAGAAGAAGACCACACCGGGTGCTACTCCTGTGAGTTAGGAACAAGAAACTGAGGCCACATTTTGCACAGGTTGGCCAAAATTGGACAGTAGAAGAAAACGTTGCTTGGTCTGATGAGTCTCGATTTCTACTGTGACATTCGTATGGTAGGGTCAGAATTTGCCTTTGTATCAATGGTTCAGGCTGGTGGTGCTGTAATGGATTTTCTTGGCACACTTTGGGCCCATTAGTACCAATTGAGCATCGTGTCAGAGCCACAGCCTGCCTGAGTATTGTTACTGACCATGTCCATCACTTTATGACTACATCTTCTGATGGCTACTTCCAACAGGATAACGCTCCATGTCATAAAGCGTGAAACATCTCAGACTGGTTTCTTGAACATGACAATGAGTTCACAGTACTCAAATGGCTTCCACAGTCACCAGATCTCAATCTAATAAAGCTCCTTTGGGATGAGGTGGAACAGAAGATTCGCATCATGGATGTGCAGCCAACAAATCTTCAGCAACTGCGTGATGCTATCATGTCAATATGGACCAAAATCTGTGAGGAATATTTCCAGTATCTTGTTGAATCTATGCCACAAATAATGAATGCAGTTCTGAAGGCAAAAGGGGGTCCAACCCAGAACTAGTAAGGTGTACCTAATATAGTAGCGGTGAGTGTATATTATAGAGCACAAATTATAACTGCATCCAATATAAAAAACTACAGAATTGAGTGGGAAAGTCACATTTGCATCACTGCCTTTAAATTCCAGTATTTTAAACTAAACAAGAGAAGAGACAAAGAAATATGAAATGTAATGTAAAAGATATGTCTAGTAATATATTTAATAATGTCAAGTTTATATTGGAAGAAAATGCTTTGATTTGTATCACTATTCGAAACACATTAATTCATGAAATGAGTTAATCGATTAAGAAATGTTAAAGCACAAACAAAATTGTTCACTTAAACACTAATTATAATGGCATTCGATATAAACTACATAGATCAAGGTTTATAAATGTCTGGCTAAATCTATCGAAAACGTACTAATGTAAATTTAACCTGGGTCTATAATTAGCTTTTGCATATTTCATTGTGGTTTTACATTGTTGTTTGCTCTTCTACAGTTGAGGACAAAGCTTTCGTCCAAAGAGATCCAGCAGTTTGCCACACTGTTACATGAATACAGAAACGGCGCCTCCATCCATGAGTTCTGTATCAACCTGCGGCAGCTTTATGGAGACAGCAGGAAGTTCCTTCTCCTCGGTTAGATGCATGTTGAGCTGGTCTAAACAAAGCTGGGGCGGGGATTTCTTTGCTGACTGACTTTTTGAATCCAGAATTGTTACTGTCAAGTTGATTAAAAATAATTTTTGTCATGTGAAATATAATTGAAATCAAATATAAACACTAGATGAAAAAGTATAGCTCCATCTGAAACTGCCTACTACTCAGTGGCTACTGCATTTGAATTTAAACAAACTACTCGGCCATTAGAAAAGTACGTTCTATACTATATGAATGTCAGTAGCAAGAATGGAATTTGGACATACTACTTCCGCCATTTTGTTGTGATCACTTGACCTACCCTTGTCAGTTGCATTGCTACACTCCAATTCATGAATTTTCTTGTGGGACATCACGGGATAGCGCAGCGTTCATGGGATGCGCACTTCAGAATCTCGCCGGAAGTAGTAGTCATCTGTGTACCTCTCGCATACAGTTTTTCGTATTCAGTTAATTCAGACATGCTACTCTGCTCACATACTGATTTTAGCGTACTATATGGTATGCAGTTTTGGACGCAACCTATGTTTTGCAAGTAACAGAAATAAAAAAATTCAAAATTGAAAGCTGAAGTTAAAAAAATCCATAATGGTATCATTTACCCAAAAATAAAAATTCTCTCAATAATAGCTTGCCTTGTATCGTTCCAAACCCCTGAGACCTTTGTTCATCTTTAGAACACAAATAAATATATTTTGGATGAAATCTGATCCAAACCTTATCCTCCATAGACAACAATACAAATTTTTTTGTCCTACCTCTAAAAAAAACAAAATCCTCAAAACACACCATATGACTTCAGTGGTTTTAGTCTGAACATTACGAAGCTACAAGAATACTGTTGTGCACATAAATCAAAAGTTATGACATTATTCAACAGTTTCTTCTCCTCTGTGTCAGTATAGGGTGCACATTCATGAGCTCTGTTCACTGATATATATACCCCAGATACCCACAAACAGCTTTCACCATTTGAAACAAAACACAGGCACATTTGCGGTAGAGCCCTGTATTTGAGCCCGAGCCCATTGGGGCCCAAATTTCTTATGCCCCTAAGGACAGGCTTTTTGCCAATTTTCACATCATAGCTAGCAGCTAGCTTTAGGCCTGCTTTGGAAATTTTTTTTTTTTAAAAGTTCAAGATCTAATGTGTGCAGGCCAGACGCGCCAGTGATCCCTTGCACATGAGATTTCTAGCCACATGCAACTTTTAGTCAACTTTTCAAATATTGACAACTTTAAACGATGAGCCAACTAGTGATGCACAGTTCAACTTAATTGAGTAAACTGACTGTGGACCACATACTGCTTGGATATCGATGTCACTTAAAAAAAAAAAAAAAACTTAAAACTTGCATATAAAAAAACAAACAGAAAAAATCCAAACACTTCTCTAAAAAAACCTGAAAAAACATAAACTTTCTATTAAATAGAAATCTGGTCTATTTCAATGGCTGTAGCAGTATAAACTGTTTGGCGGACAAAAAGACAGGCTTCAGGTCAGACTCGGGCCGAAAAGTAGGGCTACAGCCTATGTGTCTCAGGCCAGGGCCGGGCTAGGGCTTAGATTTAAGGCATGTGCAGGGCTCTAATTCACGTTATAGGACAGCAGCGATACAGGGCACCACATGCAAAAAAAGAGCTGAGATCTCTTGTGAACACATGCTCTATACTGACATTGTAAAGAATTCGTTTTAGTAGTTATATTAGTTTATGTGCACACAAAAGTATTCTCATAGCTTCATAATATTCAAATTGAACCATTGAACACATATGGCCCATTTGGGCATGTTTTTTTGTATGAAAGAATTGGGACATTGGTGTCTATGGAGGATGAGAGTGCAAGATTTAATCTAAAACATCTTCATTTCTATACTAAAGTCAGTCAGAGGTATCAGTGGTTTGGAATGACATGAGGGTGAGTATTTAATAACATCATTTTAATTTTGGGGTGAACTAATCCTTTTAAGTTGAAAAAAGTAAACCATAGAGATATTAAACTACATGTTTAAAGCTTCTTTTTAAAATATATATGTTGCTAAATTAAATTATTTTGCTAGATAAACATTCCTGATGTTTTACATGTTTAAATGAAATTTAACTAAATGAAAGTCTGCATTTACTCTGGATAGTTCAAGTGACCCAATTCTGATTTATTTTCTCCCATGTGGCACAGATCAGATATGACATTAAAATGCCTATTAGTTTTAAAAAGCCTAGATTAAAAGAAACAACTTATTAAAAAGAAAACAAAAAAATTAAACAATGCGAACTAGGGCTGTGCAATTTGGGGGAAAATGTCTAATTGCCTTTATTTATTAATTAATTACATTATTATTCTTTTTTTTTTTTTTTGCCATATTGTGATTTCGAATGGATTATCGATTTAATTTTGTAGTCAAGCTTCAGCTCAATCTGTATCATAGCTTCTTATTGCTAAACTGCAGTGAGTGTTAAAAAAAGGAACTGAAAACATTTTAACTTAACATTTATTCAAATTTATTTTCAAGTATTCAAAAATTAAACACTCCTATTTCTCTAGACCACAAATAAAAATGACCTTGTATTTCTGTAAACAAGTTGAACTCAAATTAGGGAGATAAAAAAAAATTGTTATAAAAATACAGAAAAACTTAGCAAATTAACATAGCTGAAACAACTCTGAAATCGTACTTTGTTGTTGCTTGCTACTAGATTGAGTGGCAGTGGCAATACTTTTAGTTGAGTGCTAGACACTCCTCATATAGCTGCCTGTGGTGCTTATTTATTTATTTATTTTTTTGGTGCTGGTTGTATTTCCTCGTGCATTGCCAACAATTCTTACAGATGAACTGTTTTGCTTCAGTGTCTGATTTGAAACCAAAATATTCCCTCATTATCGATGTTCTGTTTTTCTTTGATATTAATTTGTCTATTAATGTTTCTGAAGCAAATGAGTTAAGCTCCTTCACGCTTTCCTGTTTGTTTGCTTTTTATTGTGGATGTTCCGCATAGTTCGGTTGCGCAATTCTGATTGGGCAGAACGACCGTGTGCTTAGTCAATTGGCTAGTAAAACTGTAACACAGGCGCAGTCATGCATATTTGCTCTGGGTGGGGAAAATTAAATAATACATATTTCATATCGCAGCCTCTTGCGATTGTGTTTTTTTTTTTTTTTTTTTTTTTTTTTTTTTTTAGCTAATCGCAACATTTTAAATTATGATTAAATTTCGATTAATCGCAGAGCCCCAATGCAAACAAATTAAACACAGGAATGGTGGAAAGAGCACTCTTTTATTTTCAAAGCTGTCAGTCAGTGCCCACTCTTTTTTGCTTGTTTTGTTTTTTCCTGGGTCTTTGCTGTGTGTAGTGTAAATGCAGAAATCAGACACTTTGTAAGATGGTGTAAGCAGGTCACCAAAAAAATTGGATACAGTTACAAAATTGGAATTTCTGTTTTAGTTCTGTATCTGCTGTTTCTAAACGTGCATCAGTCTCTCATCAAACCTCACCATTATTCTTATTGAGCTCTCCTTGTTTTGTTTACTCCAGGACTGCGGCCGTTCATCCCCGAGAAGGACAGCCAGCATTTTGAGAACTTTCTGGAGACCATCGGCGTGAAGGATGGCCGCGGAATCATCACAGACAGTTTCGGCCGTTATAAGCGCACGACGAGCTCTGCGTCTGACTCCACCACGAACGGAAACGGTGCTGCGGGCGGATCAGATGAGGGAACAGCCACCTCTGAGGGCGACGAATGGGACCGCATGATTTCAGACATAAGCAATGACATTGAAGCCTTAGGAAGCAGCATGGATCAAGACGGCGTGCCATCTTGATGCCACGGCTCTCGGTGAGCTTTTGCCAATCGCCACACACAGGCCATCGGTCCGTATTGCTGTCTGTTTGAATCTGACAATGCTGGAGTTTGGATGCTGTATGGATGCCACTTCCTGACCGTCAATTTTATTTTTGTTTGTCGTGCCATATTGTTGAGCGTTTTTAAAGAGCTGTGATGGAAGGATGTGTATTGCTGTGGACAGCAATCGTGTTCCTCTGGGATGTTTATTGGCAGTATCTGCTACCACTGAAGAGAAACCTTGTTGTTGGGTAGATGCGGCTCTTTCACACTGATCTGAGTTTGCTAGGTTCCCATTTAATAGCAAGTAGGGCTTGTGATATGTCGAAATAAAAATAGCAGTGTATACTTTCATCTATACTTTTCACTATCTAATAAACATTTAAAGCCCTTTTACATAAGGATTATAACAATAATGTCAGATATGTTTTTAATATTGCTTTAAAGAGTCTACACTCACTGGCCACTTTATTAGGTACATCTTCTAGAACTGGGTTGCACCCTCTTTTGCCTTCTAAACTGCCTTAATCCTTAGTAACAGATTCAAAAAGGTATTGGAAATATTCCTTTGATTTTGGTCCATATTGACGTGATAGCATCATGCAGTTGCTGCAGATTTGTTGTCTGTACATCCACGATGCATCCCGTTCCACCACATCCCATTAGTGCTAAATTGGATTGAGATCTGGTGACTCTGGAGGCCATTTGAGTACAGTACAGAGAACCATACATATAATGTGAATGTCACAGCAAAAATCGAGACTCATCAGAGCTGGCAATGTTTTTCCAATCTTCTGCTGTCTAATTTTGGTGAGCCTGTGAGAATTGTAGCCTCGCACACAGAGTGGCACCCGGTGTGGCACCCGGTGTGGTCTTCTGCATACCTAGGTTGTATTGTGGTTATTTGAGTTACTGTTGCCTTTCTATCGGCTCTAACCAGTTTGGCCATTCTCCTCTGGCATTAACAAGGCATTTGCGCCCACAGCACTGCCGTTCACTGGATATTTCCTCTTTTTCAGACCATTCTTTGTAAACCCTAGAGATGGTTGTGCGTGAATATCCTAGTAGATCAGCAGATTCTGAAATACTCAGACCAGCCTGTCTGGCACCAACAACCATGCCACATTCAAAGTCACTTAAATCACCTTTCTTCCCCATTCATATGCTCTGTTTGAACTGCAGCATATCAGCTTGATGCCATGTGATTGGCTGATTAGCAATTTGCATTAACGAGGAGTTGTTATAAAGTGTCCAGTGAGTGTATGTAACCATAGAGGCATCATTAGCTAAAATTCCTATGGTGTACCAGACATGAACCGTTTTCCATATTGGATGGGTCGTATACACATGTGAATATCTATGTCTACAATAGACTACAGATGATTATTGCTAAACTAACACAATACAACAAGACAAAGGTGTTGGCTAACTTGATATTAAAAAGTTATTACAATTTTTGAATACTTTTAGTGTTGTATAAATACGTTTAAAAATGCAAACCAAAACACGCACACATTAAAGGTCATCCCGTTTTTATTTTTAGGAATTTAAAAAGTTTAACAACCAAAGGCTGTTTTTCTTTTTTTTTTACTGTGAGCGACGACATGACACGTTCACATTTCCTTTTTTTTTACTCCAGGACTGCGACTGTATTTATTTATTTTTGTTTACCTTTTATTTGGATTGGATGGTGGAGGACAGACAGGAAAGCACTGGGAGCAGAGAGAGGGGAAGGATTGGCATAAGATCTTGGGCTGGTATGAATGAATTTAAAATTATTCACCCCCTTTAAATTTATTTTCTTTTTTAAATATTTTCCAAACGATGTTTTACAGAGTGAGGAAATTTTTACAGTATGTCTGAGAATATCTTTTCTTCTGGAGAAAGTCTTATTTGTTTTATTTCGGCTAGAATAAAAGCAGTTAGTAATTTTTTTAAAGACCATTTTAAGGTCTAAATTATTAACCCTTTTAAGCAATATATTTTTTTCGATTGTGTACAGAACAAACCATCATTATACCTAATTAACCTAGTTAAGCCTTTAAATGTCACTTTAAGCTGTATAGAAGTGTCTTGAAAAGAATTTCTAGTCAAATATTGTTTACTGTCATCATGGTGAAGATAAAATAAATCAGTTATTAGAGATGAGTTAAAACTATTATGATTAGAAATCTGTTGAAAAAAATCTCTCCGTTAAACAGAAATTTGAGGAAAAAATAAACAGGGGGGCTAATAATTCAGAGGGGCTAATAATTTTGACTTCAACTGTATTTGTAAACAGTCATTGTTTTGAACCTTTTATGCTATTTGAGCATTTGAAATTAAATTTATGGAATAGTTAGTATCACTTTTTTATTTGGGTGTATTTTTATTAATATTATTATTATTATTTAGCAAGTTTATTTAATTGTTCAGCCCCTAAAAGATGGTTCACCTATGTTTTAAGTGTTCAGAAGGAAAAAAAATTGTTTCCTAGCCTTTTCAATAATGTTTGCACCCCCAAAACAAAGTCATGCCACTCATTCTAGAATGAGTGATTATTTTTAAGATATAAAAAATCAAGTCATCTTGTAAACATTTCTTCAGATCCCCGAAAAAGTCAGATATTCCTAATATCATGTTACTTTAATATTAAAAAGGATGACTGCACAAAAATGCAATGAAATTTTGTGAGCAAAACAGATCTGGCAATAGCGAACCTCACACACTTCCAAAACAAGCAGCTTTATGGTAATAATTCCACACCTTCATGTCGATCCAGACCCCCCCCCCACCCCCCCCCCCCCCCCCCCTTAGAGACCTTCATTCATCTTCAGAAAACAAATTAATATATTGTAGATGAAATTGAAGAGCTTGCTCATTCTCCATGAATGAAGAAATACCTAAAATATCATCAAAACAGACCATAGGCCTTCTGGTTCATGAATATTATCAAGATACTGGGATTCAATTGTGAGCACATAAAATAAAAGTAAAGAGTTTCTTCTTAGTGTCAGTACAGAGCGCACGTTCCCGTTTGCATGTGTGCCTAAGATGCGCCTGTGTTTTGTTTCAAACATAGGAAGTCATGTGATATACACAGTGCTTGTAAACGAGCGCAATATACTGACACTGAAGAGAAAAAAAAAAGTTAAATAGGCATTTATTTGTGTTCTTAACATGAAGGAAGGTCTCAGGAGTTTGAAGCAACACAAGAGTGAATAATTAATAAAATCATATTGAAGCGGGCTCAGATCAGCGTGAAGAGTTTATTTCTCCCTGGAGTGTGTGGAGCGTTGCTGAGTGGCCTTCCTAAACTGTGTTCTGGATCGCCTTATGTATGTTGTAACCTGAGGGAAGTGAAGTGCAGTATATTTCCTCCTGCACTGAAGTGCTAATCGAAACTTGACCCATTTACACCTGTATATTAACTGGTCAATGTGTTACACTTTTATTTGGTTTGTCTAATATGTATTTTTCACTCCTTTTTATATTTTGTTTCAGCCAGGATTGGTTATAATAACCCAGTTATAATCATGTGGGTTTGTTCAGGTAGGAAATGTAGCACTATATATATTTTGGGGGTTTTGACTGAAAACCTGGACAGTGTGGATATTAGACAACGTCAGTTTTCTGGCTGATTGAGAATGCAATATTCTGTACACTGCATTACACCCGTGTCCCGTCATTCATTGTATCCTCCTCAGAGTTTTTGGTAACCTAACGTTGTGCCTTGCAGAATCACTGATTGTATCATCCAACGTTGGATGTAAGTAATATTCTGTAATCTGTACAGAAACGCGACTGAAGTATGAGTTTATTAAAAAGTGAAGCACTTAACGTGTATTGCTTTTTGTCTCGGAGCACTCTGTAGTGGAGCAACTACTTAACACAAATGGACTGATGTACTTTACATCCTGATTTACAGAGCTTTAGTCTTTACAAAAGTATTTTGGTAACACTTTTGCAATTAGTTACTGTGTTTACTAACATGAACAAACAATGAGCTGTACATTTCATTACTGTATTCATCTTTGTTATTAGACATTAGGTCATCCATTTTTAGTTCATGTTAACGCATCAAGCTTTACTAATGTTAACAAACATGAATGTGGATTTTAATAATGGATTAATACATTATAAATTATGCTCATTATTGCTTTTACAATAGGCAAAAATAACCAATGAAGCCTTATTGCTGGTTTTTAACCCTGGCTTAAAGTGATATGTATGAAATAAAATGACACAGTTAATTTACTCACCCCCAGGCCAACAGAAGAATTTAAGCTGAAATGTATTCGATGAGTCTAGTTTTAGGCTGTTCTTAAATGTGTATCCGATTTACACTGATAGCCCAAATTTAGCCTTGTTTTAGCCAAGCCGTCTGTGTTTAGATGTCTATTAGACATCTGTTAGACACAATTGCTTGATTAGTTTGGTTCTTGATGATTCATAAAATTCAAGTCAACTGCTACTGAAACATTGAGAGTTTAAAAAAAAAAAACATTTAAGACGTAATGCTGGCTTTTATAGATAATAAGTGGCATTTTCAAAGGAAAGCTTACTCTGGAGTCTTAAGGCAAAGTCATTTACACTCTTTATGTTGATGATTTTGTTTTAAGAAGTACCCAATGCTGGTGGTATTGTTGCATAGTTGCCAGCAGAGGGCTCTCAAAGTACAGCAGATTGATTACCTATATACCCTGCTGTTATATAATATTCATATGAACTCTACCTTTCCAAATGGAGTCTGACGATGAAGGAAATTAATACTCCTCAGGCCTGTAGCCAGCCTATTGGAAGGGGTGGTTCTTTTTTTCCTCAAAAGTTAAGCTTTTTGCAGTTGTTCTTCTCATTTTTTATTAAATTATGAGGTTCAAATACTGCATTTTATTGACATTTTTAAACTCTAAAGCAGGGGTGGCCAACTGTGTTCCTGGAGAGCCAACTTCCAGCAGATTTCAGTTGCTACCCATATCAAACACACCTGAACCAATTAATTAGGACTTGAACACCATGTGATAATTACAGGCAGGTGTGTTTGATATGGGTTGCAACTGAAATCTGCAGGAAGGTGGCTCTCCAGGAACACAGTTGGCCACCCCTGCACTAAAGCACTAGCTTGTTGGATGGTGATCCTAACCGCACTTCTTAATGGAACAAAAATATTTCCTATATTTAATTACATATTAAATATTTCCTATATTTAAGTGCTTACCATACTGTTTTACCACAGTGTTTATTTAGAAATGTGCGTTTCAACTAAGTTATTACAATTTTATAAATAATGTTATGAGATAAGAATTTTTAATAAAAAATTAGAATAAGGAAGATATTGAATAAAATAAAAAGATTTATTTAGATAAAAATGAAAAAAAAATCAATAAATACAAATTTATTATTTTAAAAAAAAAGGACTCTGGAAATTGATGTTTCATTAGAGCATCTCAAAATGGCAAGGGAAGAGGATCTCGGAGCAGAAATTAAAAAACTGGCAATGGGAGGAAGCACAAGAACAAGTTCATTCTGTGTGTATTAGGCAAGGTGTAATGCAATTTAAGATTCTGCACCGATTCCACTTGTCTAATTTAAAGCTCTCTAAGATGTTCCCTTCCG